GGGGCGGGGGCGGGGCAGGGGGCGGGGCCGGAAAGCCGAGAGGGCGCGGCCCGGGCCCGCTATAGGGGAGCACTGTGGAGTCCGGTCGCAGCTGCTAGCCCGGCTAGTGGGCCGCCGAGCCATCGAGCGCCCACTGTGGCAGGCATGACTGCTCCAATGCTGAAAGAATGATGAGGCTCAAGGCAGAAGTTGTGCCTGACGAAGTGACTTTGCAGTCCGCAGATTCCGGCCACAACTATTTTTATCAGCAGTCAAAATCCTTGGGTGTAGCCTTGGGGATTCGGAAGGCAAAGGCATACATCTGGTGTGACTGGAAAAATTCAGGCAGGGCTAATGCTTTAGATGTAACCATTGGAAAGTTAAATGCAGAAGAAAGGGACTCTGAAGAGCCCGTACCAGACCAAAGTGAGAGGCCAATCTCAGCCAAGGTCACACACTGAATGGATGGTGGAATGAGATTAGCTACTTTCAGCTTCTTGGCTGTCTTGTGAGCTTTTCCACTATCAGTGTTTCGAGTGTTATTTTTTCAGGTTTTATTTTGCAACAATCTCAAACTTACAAAAAAAGTTGCAAATACAGTACAAAGAATCTTTTCTTCCTCAACGGTTTGAGATTTAATTCGCTGACCCCATGTCCCACTCTATACAATCACAATGTATGAGAGCATTTTTGTGGTACATTGCGATTTGCCTGTTGCCCAAACAATGTCCTTTATTGTATTCAGTTCCAAAACCAAAAAACAACAAAAACAAATTAGCAACACTCCCCCCGCAAAAAAAATCCACACATTTATTTGCCATCTATCTTCAGTTGCCTTCAGTCTAGTACACTTACCTTAGTCTTTCTTGGGTTCCTAGCCAATTGTATTTATACAATACCCTTCACTTGGGGTCTGATATTTAGTGGTGATAAGAGTCAAGCCTAGGTGTCTTTGAGGAGTCTCACAGGTAATGCTGTGTTCTTTTCATTGTATTCTACCAATGGTGCAATTGTAATTTCTCTCATTATGGATGTTTATTTTAATATGATATTATCTGCCAGACCTTTTCAATATAAAGTTTTTCTTTTCAATGTGGTCAATGTCTGTCTTGTAATTAATGGGTATTTTCTGAGGGGAGATTCTCTGAAGCTATCTTGTTTCATATTTTTAAATAATCTTGCTTCTCATCAAATTTATAATTTATTTATATCTATTTATTAAAACATTTCTATTTCATTAAATATTAGTTATTTTGATGTTCAAATTGTGCTATTTGGTCCACAGAAGCCCCATTCATTCTGGTGTGTGTGTGTGTGTGTGTGTGTGTGTGCATGCACACACCAATAGTTTAAGCAGAATATTTGAAAGAGTTTTTATACAATATATTCAGCATCCAGGATCTGTATGTTATCATTCTGTGCCTTTTAGACATATCCCTATTATCCATTGAGCATTTTTTTACTAATCCTGAATAATGAAATATTCCAAACTTATCTTGCCCAGCCTGGATGCAGCCATACAGAATGGAAAATAATACTTAGAAACCCTACGTTTTCTTACTACTATTACAGCATCACAGCCCAGGGATTATGTATACATTCATGCTCATACAGTGTATCAATGTCTGTATATTACACACAAATTTACATTTGCATGTATTAACCAATCTAAATACTGTAAAATCATATTTATGGTTTTACCTCCAGTTCAGCCTCACAGGGTCCAATCTAGTTTTTAGTCCTCTATATTTGTAACTCTTTTCTACTATAGGAGAAAATACCCTTAAGATGTTTACCTATTTAAACAGCCCTACCCCATGTAAGCAATCACCTATAACTGCCCTCTATTCCTTTGGAGGATGTTTTCCTTACCCCATGAAGTTCTGAAACCCCCCAAATTGGCCACTTTAACCCTCCTCCCAGATTCCCTTTCTTCACTCCTGTTCTCACACATTTTGTTCATACCCAGTCCATAACCCCTCTCCACCTTGCCCAGGTTCAAATATTTCTTGACAAATCTCCCTCTGACATCTTCTCTATTCCATTTAATGTATACATCTGCATGTGTGTTTATACATATACTATATTTTGTACATATACACATATAATACACTATATATACATTATACCTCAAATATATTACTTTGTTGTATCTTGTTACATACTATATAAGGTAGTCATTATCAGATATTTGTTATATATAACATTCATTATAGTACACTATATGTACACATACTGTATATTCACATACATGCTATATATGTACATTTGTACATATGTGCATCTAGCATACATATTCATGTGCGTACATGTTTGTAGGTATAGATTAACAAATTATAGTTACATATAGCTATAGATATAGTATGTGTGTGTATAAGCTGTTTAAAGTCCTTTAAGAAAGGTGCAAAAGTTATTATAGTATTCTGAAGGAGAGAGTAATTACAAACCCAGCTGGAAAGGCATAAGAGACGAAAAGGAAGAGATAACTCTTAAAACAGTCTTTGATGTTGGACAGTCTTATCTACTTGAGAGGCTAAGGTGGAAGCTCTTGAGACCAAGAGTTCAAGGCCAGCCTGAGTAAAATACTGAAACTCTCCCAAAATAAATAAATTTCATTTGGGCACCAGTGTCTCACACTTGTAATCCTAGCTGCTCTGAAGGCAAAGATCTGAGGATTGTGGTTTGAAACCAGCCCAGGCCGAAAAAATAAATCTATAAAACCCAATCTCCAGTTAACCAGCAAAAACTCAGAATAGAGGCAAAGCTCAAGTTGGTAGAACATGAGCCATGAGCAAGAAATAGTGTGAGGCTCTGAGTTCAAGCCGGAGAACCAGCACAAAAATAAATAAAATTTTTAAATGGAATTTTTTCTTTACTTTGTTTCTTGTGCTGGTGACTGAGTATGCTAAATCAGTGCTCGACCCAATGGGCTACATTCCCTGCCTGTAAAATCAACTTTGAATGACACATAAAAATGGATGAGTAGAATACACTGTTATATAGCAAAAAAGGAAAAAAGAAAAGAAAAGAAAACCTTTCAGAAAATAACTAGAATGGGCCTAAAAATATAATTCCCTTTGGCTAAGTATGTAATACAGAATTGCAATACTAGAAGTTCAGAGCTACAAGGAACATTGCATCTCATTGAGTATAGATAGTCATTGTTTTACAAAGGATTCAAAGATGAATTGAATGACTAAGAATAAAATTAGGAGGAGTCAGTCTAGAGGAGAAAATAACAAATTTAATTTTAAACATGTCACATTTTCGGTCACAAAAAGGTAATCAAAAGGAAATGTGGGATTATAGCTCAGAAGCTGGGTCAGAGCTAAAGATGTAAATTAAGAACTTTTTCAGCTAGAACTGACAACGGACAGTAAAGGAAATAAATAGGGAAACAAGTACAGAGCTCTTAAAAAAAAACTTTTATTATGTTAGTCAAATGAAAATGTGTCCCACCTTTCATCCCCTATCGTATTTTGTTTATACTTTGATCTCAATTTGAAATTTTGAGTCGTAAAGAGGAAACTATATTCCAATCAGTGAAGAGTGCAGCTTTGAGATCAGTGACTTATTTTCAAATTCTAATTCTATCACATAATAGGCATGATCTTAGGAAATTATCTCTGGAGCTCATTTTCCTCCACTCACAAAATGAGAATACTACTTCTCTGGTGTGTTTGGAGGATTTGAGATACAATATAAGTAGCATGTGTTCCATTATCAAATGATAGCTAGACTTATTAGGCTTTTAACTCCTTACTCCTAACTTATTCGAGGTTATCTGCTTTAGTTGGTATCACTGACTGACAAACAAAAGGTCTTCATCAGGAAAGGCTTTCTTTTAGGAATGGAGATTTTTCTAAACTTTCTATTAGCTTTGTATTGGTACTCTAAAACACTACATTGCATTACTTCGCTTTCTATAATGGGATATTTTTTCACCAATACATAAAGCATTTTCATAAATAAAACTGTTGGTATTTAATGGTGTATGTAGAAATCACAAAGCCAACAGCTACCCATTTCATTTGCTATGAGATATCCTGCTTTAATAGATTGCTCAAACATATCAGAAACAGTGATTTTAGGTTCTAAACAGTATACATATGAGAAACTAAAAATTATATTTTTATCAATGATTGGGACTGTATCTGTAGCTCAGTGGTAGAAAGCCTGCCAGCATGCATGAAGCCCGAGGTTAGATTCCTAGCATTGCTAAAATACTGTTACTTAAACATGGGTACATACCGTGTATCTATGTAACTTTAGGGTATTCTTCTTGATTAGGCACTTTAGGGTATTCCTCAATAAGTCAATAGGAATTCATTTAAAAAGGTGTTCTGCCAGGCGCTGGTGGCTCATTCCTATAATCCTAGCTACTCAGGAAGCTGAGATCTGAGGATTGTGGTTCAAAGCCAGCCCAGGCAGGAAAGTCTGTGAGACTCTTATCTCCAATAAACCACCAGAAAACTGGAAGTTGCACTGTGGTTCAAGTGGTAGGGTGCTAGCCTTGAGCTGAAGAGCTGAGGGACAGCGTTCAGGCCCAGAGTTCAAGCCCCATGACTGACCCCCACAAAAAAAGGTGTTATATATTAATATAGAGTTATTTCTTAGAGAATCATTATGTACTATAGTATTTTGTTCCCTAAAGTTTTTGAGAATGCAATATATTATTGTATATGCACACACACATATTGTATCTGCACACACTCTACTGCTGAGCCATGCATCCAGACCTTTTTGCAAAGTTTAGTTTTGAGATAGGGTCTCTCTTCATGCCCAGATGCACACTTGGACCAGGATTCTCCTAAGCTGG